AATGGATCTTCTTGTAAGGTATGAAAACATTTCAGAAATGGATTTTATTTGGATTTCCTTAGTGGCTCTGTAAGTATGTTTATTGAGGTTCTAATTTTTAAATTGCTCCCGTTGATGCATAAATTGAATTATGGTTGGATGATTTCTATGATCTTCTAAAAAGAGAAGTATTAAATATTTTGAAAAAAAAAATGTTTATGTTATGTTTGCTACACTCTACAGTATTGTTTAGGGGTATTGTGGGGTGTTACATATCCTCCTTAATTTCTCTATACTTATCCATCAAACCTCTCAATAAGTGTATAGCTTCCATAGTAGACCTACCCGACATGAATCCAAATTGATTTTGAGAAATATTAGTATCACATTGTAACATATACTCTATAACTTTCTCCCATAGTTTTAACGTTTGACACATTAACTTACTTCCTCTATAATTCATACACTCTTGTACACCAACTTTATTCTTAAAAATAGAAATTAACACCCCTTTTCCACTCATATGACATATTTTTAGTCTTCAAATAATATTGAAAAGCTTTGTAAACCAATAATTTCTTCCATCTCCTAAACATTTCTCGCCTATATTGGAATATCATTAGTCCAACAGCTTTTCCACAATTTATTTTCTTTAAATCCCCTCTAACTTTGATTTTACTAATACACCAATAAAAATAAAAATCTCTATTTTTATTTAGGATGCTAAATATTCATTGAAAAGTTTATCAAAATATCTCATACACTTTTGTTGAAAACCATCTTCTAATAAAAATACTTTTTGATCTTCATCCTTAATACACTTTAGTTGAACATATTTTTTTTGTCATCCTTCATATTTAATCTATTACATAAATAAATAAAATCTAAATTCCTTGCATCAAATATTACTTTCTTAAACTCATTATGGGTCTCTTTATATCTTTCCCAATTTTTTAGCTTTTACATCTAAACTATTTTTTATAACAATTTTTTTTTTATATTTTCTTGCACATTTTAATTCCACTACAAACTATTTTTACTATTATGAGTTTTTTTATTATAATCCAAATATATCATCTAGAATATTATTAATATCACTAATTACTTTTTTAAACATAACATTAATTAGCTTTCTCATGCACAGTCAAAATCATATATAAGATCATAGATCTTTCTCTCAAAAATATTTTTTTTTAATGCTATTTAAATGCCCCCATTTAATCTTAGGACAATATTTTATTTTATTTTTTTAATCTTCCCCTTCATCTTAAATTTTAAAACTAATAAGCGATGTTTGATATATAAACTTTCACTAAGAATAATTTTACAATCTTTGCAATCTAATCGATACATTTTTCTTATACAAAAATAATCAATTTGAGTTTTACTATATCCATTCTTATAAGTGATGAGATGCTTATATATTTTTTAAAAAAACATATTAGCAATTAAATAGTCATAAGCTAGAGCAAAATCTAATATGATCCTATCACCTTTATTAATTTCTCCAAACCCATAACCACCTTGAATGCTTTTAAAATCATGTATCTCTCTACCAACATGTCCATTTAAATCTCCTCCAATAAATTTTTTTTATTAAAACATTATTTAGTATTTTAAATTTAAAATAATTTGTTAAATTATAAATATTATTTAATATTTAATCATTAATATAATAAATTAATTTATATAATTCGGTAATTGAACCAGCTAGTTCAAAGGAACTAGGATCAGTTCATTGGTTGAATTGGTAGTTATGATCGGTTCAATCCATTTTGATGCTGAAGTTATTTTCATGCTGGATCGGATCGGCCTTATAACTAGTTCACAGTTGAACCGGTTGGACCGACCAGTCCGGTCTTATTTTTAAAACCTTGGCTAAAAGGAAACTAGGAAAGAAGAATGGAAGGAAAATAAAGGACACCAAAAAGCTAACATGCTATATGCCCCAATCCAAAGGAAAAGATGAAAAGATGACATTCGTAGTTCCTCCTCACTGCAACATTATGTGAGAAAAGTGGTCACTGCTAGAGTTTTTAAATGGAAAAATTCTGATGTGCTGTTGGGACGAAATCTTTGATCTTTCAAACTGTTTTGCTGTATGGGGAAATTTCAGGTCTGTTGGTGGTTTGGAGCTAAATCAGGACAATGATGAAGCTCCTTATGAAGTTTTTTATTTTGATGGTACCCCTTGGATGGCCTACGGGCAACCAGGGATTTTTTGGGTTTATCCTTTCAACTGAGTCCTGGTTTAATGTGTTATGGAGCTGTTTTTTGGCAATTTTCAGGACTGGCAATACCTGGTGCTCATTTGCTCTCCAAGTGTTTTTTCAGGTCTCGTATCAGTTCTCTTCTCAATTGGCTGGAGCTGAAGGTTCTGCTTCTTTCTCGCTGGATTGCTCTGCTGACTGCCTCAAATCTGGAGACAGTTAAAATTCTATGGATCCACCTATGCTTGGATTCTTTTTTTTGGCCAGCAGTCACTTTTTTGGTTGTTTATTTTGTATTACCTTCATAGTTGTGGGTGGTATAGTTAAGTTTTTCATTGTTCTTACATAAGTTTTTGTTTTTTTGCTTATGTAAGTTTGTTTTTTCCTGTTCTTCATAGTTGTGGGTGGTATAGTTATTACTTGTAATCTTTACCTTCAATGAAATATATGGGCTTTTGCCCCAAATTTACCCAAAAAAAAAAAAAAAGATGACATATATCATTTCTGCCACAAGTTTGGACACAATAAAAAATATTTGCATAAACATAATGCTTGGTTCGAAAAGAAGGATAAGTCTAATGCTTTAGAATGTTTCAAATCAAATTTGATAAAATTTCCTTATAATATTTCATTGATTGATTATGGATGTACAATTCATATATTAAATGTGAAGCAAGGCTTCCTTACAACACAATTTGTAATTGCACTTTACTTGAACATATATTTTTTGTCATCCTTAATATTTAATCTATTACATAAATCAATAAAATATAAATTCTTTGCATCAAATATTGCTTTCTTAGACTCCTTATGGGTCTCTTCATATATTTCTCAATTTTTTAGCTTTTACATCTAAACTATTTTTATAACAATTTTTTTTTATATTTTCTTGCACATTTTAATTCCATTACAAACTATTTTTTCTATTATAAGTTTTTTTATTATAATCTAAATACATCATTTAGAATATTCTTATCACAAGTAGTTACTTTTTTCAACATAACATTAATTGGCTTTCTCATGCATAGTCAAAATCATAAGATCTTAGATCTTTCTATCAAAAATATTTTTGTTAATGTTCTCTAAATGCCCCCATTTAATCTTAGGACAATATTTTATTTTATTTTTTTAATCTTCCCCTTCATCTTAAATTTCAAAACTAATAAGCGATGTTTGATATTTAAACTTTCACTTAGAATAATTTTATAATCTTTGCAATCTAATCGATATATTTTTCTTATACACAAAATAATCAATTTGAGTTTTACTATATCTATTCTTATAAGTGATGAGATGCTTGTCTATTTTTTCAAAAAATATATTAGAAATTAAATAATCATAAGCTAAAGCAAAATTTAATATAGTCCTATCACCTTTATTAGTTTCTCCAAACCCATAACCACCTTAAATGCTTTTAAAATCTTCTACCTCCTACTAATATGTCTATTTAAATCTCCTCCAATAAAAACTTTCTATGAAAATATTATTTAGCATTTTAAATCTAAAATAATTTGTTAAATTATAAATATTATTTAATATTTAATCATTAATATAACAAATTAATTTATATAATTCGATAATTGAACCAGCTAGTTCAAAGGAACTAGGATCAGTTCATTGGTTGAATTGGTAGTTCTGATCGGTTCAATCCATGCCATTTTGATGCTGAAGTTATTTTCATGCTGGATCAGACCGGCCTTATGACTAGTTCACGGTTGAACCGGTTGGACCGACCAGTCCGGTCTTATTTTTAAAACCTTGGCTAAAAGGAAACTAGGAAAGAAGAATGGAAGGACAATAAAGGGCACCAAAAAGCTAACATGCTATATGCCCAATCCAAAGGAAAAGAAGAAAAGATGACATATATCATTTCTGCCACAAGTTTGGACACAATAAAAAATATTTGCATAAACATAATGCTTGGTTTGAAAAGAAGGATAAGTCTAATGCTTTAGTATGTTTCAAATCAAATTTGACAAAATTTCCTTATAATATTTCATTGATTGATTATGGATGTACAATTCATATATTAAATGTGATGCAAGGATTCCTTACAACACAAATTGTAATTCCAAACGAAAATTTTATTTTTATGGGAAATTGAGTTAAAGCCCCCGTTAAAGCCATTAGAATGTATCATTTGATTTTAGGCATTGGACATCATTTAGGACTTTTTAAAATTTTTTTTATGTTCATTTTCCATTTTTTGTTTTTTCTAAACTTGATAAATGTGGATATTATTATAAATTTCCAAATGGATGTTTCAATTTATTTAAATATAATTATTTTATTAGTTATGATGTTCTTTGTGCTAGTTTATATAAGTTAAAGCTTGATTATTTATTTGTTAAGACTTTGCTGACCTTGTTTAAAGAGAATATGGTTTAATAGATTAAAGTTTAGCTTACTTGTGTCATAAATGTTTTGGGACATATATTCAAGAAAAAAATATCTTTTCTAATTTGGATTTCATTGATGTTGGTATTTTTGTAATTTATATTAATAACAAATATGCAAAACACACAATTAAAAAAGTAGTCACAAAAAGCACAAAGATTATAAATAATATACAAATTGACATACGTGGACCTTTTGATATTCCATCATTTTCTTGAGAAAAATATTTCTCTACTTTTATTGATGATTTTTTACGTTATGTTTATGCCAATCTGTTGCACGAGAAATCTCAATTAATGAATACCTTAAAGAAGCATCCCATGATGAAGTTGTCGCCAATGAACCTAAGGATGATAAACAACAAGAAATAGCATTAAGACGATCTCAAAGGTCAAAAAAAATATGAACACCTCATTTAAGAAGAAAGAATGATCATTTTTTTAGTGCTATATTTAGGAAGGCAAAAAAGGTTCTACTATTTTAAATGGAGAGATTTACGTATAGTACAGATGTACAGGCTACTTTCATGAAGCTTATACATACACAAATAGTGAGAGAATAGGGAACACACTTCGTGTACCAACAAAAAGCCTTCTTGAGCAACCAAGCTTCCATTCCTGAAGCTCAATTTCTGGTAGTTTTTTCGTCCATTTGAGAAGCCAAAGATTCAAAGAATAGGCAGATTGTTTCAGCTTATGCTTCAAGAAGCTATCAATGGGGATTCACGCGAGCCACATATCCATCTGAATGTTGAGACTCCATCTCAAGAAGCATTTTCTGCCTCTGGTACTTGTTTCTCTTCGAAGCAATTGCTGAAGCTGTAAGGAAAAGAAAAAAGATGCAAGTTCTTAGATATTTAGCATAAATCCAAAGATAATCGTTTCATCCAATAAAAAATTATTGAACAATATCCCATACGCGACTTAAATTTTTTTAAAAAAAATTATTTACTCTCTCCAACCCCAAAACAATCTCCCATACTCAACACCCTATTTCTCGAATATTCTCAATTTTATTTCTCTCTAGCAGGTTACTGTTAGGGTTTCACTATAAAACCCAGTGCCATCCAAACATTGATGTCTGCAACCGCCAAAACATCAACTTTTCAAAAGCAGTTTAATAGCAAGGTTTGATGTTGTATTGACATTGATGCTCGACGCCAGCAATTTCTACACCTAGAATCAGGTTCCGTACCATCTCGACATCTCATCTTTATCCAACGTTGCCTCAACATCAAAGACCGACACCGTCTCAATATCAATGGCCGACTTTGTCTCGACATCGACATTCAATGCCCATTGCACAACATCGATGTCCGACTCTCGACAACATTCTCATCTCGCCTATCAATGTCTGACAGACATATCTTAATATTAATCATTTTAAGCACAAATTGTAATTAAATGACTTCTTATTTCTTGATTATTCTTAACATTCTGGTTATTCGATTTTTATATACTATTTTTAAAATATAAAAATTATAATTTCAAGTCCAACCAATATTTGTATCCTATATTTTCAGTAATTAAAGTGTCTCGTATCCATGTCGTGTCATGTCAGTTTCGCTGTGTTGGTGTCTGTGCATCATAGATAAAATTAAATGTAGGATTTGTGATTTAATTGAGAGTTTGAAAATGATATTATCATCCCACATTACTTTAGATCAAATGATATAAGGTGTAGTAGACGAATATAATATATTTGGATTTGTTATACCAAAGAACTGGAATATAGATGAGGATATACTTCCTAAAATTAAGACAAGATAATTAAAGTGACTCAAAATTATAATGCAAATATCATTGACACAAAGGTAGATTTATATAAAAAATAAATAAAACCAGATCTATCGAACTTAGAATTGGGAAATAAACAAAAATGAGAAATAATTATTATAGAGAAAGAATTTGACCTACTAAAAATAACATACTGGAAAATAGATTTAAGTTATTTCACCATGCATAAAAGAGGGTAGAAAATGAACCAAAAGGACGGATAGATAAACCTATGGTGGAATGTGGGTCGACCAAAGGCCACATCGTTATAAGTTAAGCAAATGATTGTCAAAAAAAGTCATCACCCCATGCAACATTCAATTAGAAAGAATGAAGTATAAGGATTCTTAAAAGCCGGCCCCAATTAGCTGGGATAAGGGTAAGGTGAAGATGATTTACAATAAAGTCAGTACAAACAAACTACGTTACAGAATACCATTGAAATACTTATAAACCAGCACTTTATGAATTTAAAATCATAAGATAGCAAAGCAAATTCTAGCAAAACTTGAGCATGCTATATGCAACTAACATATTACTTTTTTTTTTTTTAAGTACGCAACTTACATAATACTTGTGAATATCAATTTTGTTCAATTTAAAACAACTGAGACGAAGAATACGATAAATATGAATGTCACCAAATTATGAATAAGATCAATATAATCCTAAGATGAGTTTAAAAAGAATATCACCCAAACGGTGATGGCAGGTAAGTATGTGGATGGAAAATAACAAACTATTCAAAGAAAATAGCTATAGTAAACATTAAATTTGGAAATTCTAGTGCTCTAGAAAATAGCACTCACATAGCAAATCCTGAGGTGGCCCAAAATCATAATCATTCCTTCCCCTTTTGATGCATACTACATATAGGAGCAATAGAATGCTGATGACAACCCCACATGATAAACCAATTGCAATCTTTCCTCGAGTAGACAACTTCCTTTTATCCCAAAAGAAGGGACATGCTGGCAAAGATGGTACGCCGCATAATCCATTGTTCCCTGAGAGACTGAAAAATATCTATCTTGAAAAAGCAGGTATAGCAGGAAGGAAACTAGCAAATTAAATCTCAAAACAAATAAACGAAAGATTTATAGAAAATCAGAGATTAAAGAAAATGGACTTATGGTAAAATGCTGATAATGAAGCAACTAGTAACATAATAAAATATAATAGAAATAATAGAAATCCTATAGAAACACATCATGCAATTTCCCAATAAGATTTGCAATCTAAGTTGAGATTTGCTCGTAAAAAAAATTTACCTTGTTATAAGAAGGCAAAGGATTTAATAAAAAAATTTAGCATTTCCTAACTATTTTTACTTATCATTCTATGATGTTTCCCGTCTTTATTTAAGAAAATTCTAGGAGCTTTCCTACAAGATTATCATACAACACTATAGTACTGTAAGCTAAAAAATCATACGTGATGGGCATAAAAATTTCTACATCCTATAAAAATGTCATGTTGCATCTATTAAACAGTAGAATAAATATATTTATATAAGAGTTGAACTTAGCAAAATTTCATTATGCTATGTCTAGCCTACAACAAAAGTTCGTAATTCATACAATTAGTTTAAATAAATCAATAAAAAAATTAGCACGCTCAATGTGATAAGAGTTATAATGCACATATAGTTTTTACTTTGTTGTGCTTTTCCATGCAAAATGCAAGAGGTGCACTAAGCTATGCTATGGGCTTTAATGCTATTAACATGTATAGACAACCATGGTCATACTTAACTGGCTTTGCATTATCCTCCCCTTGTGAGAATTGTAGGATAGCAAGTCCAGGCACTATTGATATTATAGGAACACTTTTGAAATGGCTTGAAGGATTATTAAAGTCATGCCAGCTTCGTATTACCCTCCTCCCAGAGGATTGCAGGATTGTCGGGACCAAGCAATATTAACATTCTGGAACAACTTCCAGTGTCCTGAATTTAGACTACTGATCAATGGTTCAACTTTTAATTGGAAGACTTGGTTGAGGTATCCCTACCCTTACGGAGCTGTGTTATACAATCCCCAATATGGCATAGGAGCTTCAAGCATAAAAATTGCCTCTTGTTTAATTGGGGGCAAAAATATTACTTGTTGTCTAATAGGGGACTAAAAATTGCCCTTGCGTGATAGGGTATATTTAATGAGGATTTCAAGTAGACACCTTTAATTTCATTTCCTCTCATTATTATAACGATGCAAAAAATCACTTATTTATTCATGAAAGGTTTCTTACTTTGAAAGTTTGTGCAAGTCATCTTCATCACCACCATCTAAGTGATTATCATCATCATCATCATCAAAGTGCAACAACAACAACAAAAAACAACAAGCCTTTATCCCACTAAGTGGGTTGGCTACATGAATCTTTTTCTCCATTGTGTACTGTTAAGAGTCAACTTCTCATTTAAATGTAATAAAGAAATGTCATTTCTAATATTTTCTAACCAAGTTTTTTTAGGTCTACCTCTACCTTTCTTAAACATAAGTCAAATCTAATACATCTACTTTCCTAACCAGGTCATCAGAAGACCGTCGTTTTAAGTGACCAAACCATTTAAGGCGACTCACTTTAATCTTATCATCTGGAGCTACTCAAACTTTTTCACATATATGCTCATTTCGTAACCTCTAAGAGTAAAGCCACTCATCCACCTGAGTATCCTCATCTCTGCAACACTTAACTTAATATTATGCTTCTCTTTTAATGGCTAACATTCTGCACCATAAAACATTGCAGGTCTCACTACCATCTTACTTGCCAATCAGTTGCGAAGTGTGGATGAATTATTATTTTTAAGTTTTTGGTGATATATTTCATTTCAAGAATTTAAACTCTTAGTAGGATTTGAGTTTAGATTTTGAATGAATGACATTAGAATTTTGAAGGTATATTGAAAATTAAATAGCTCCCTCCGATTAAAGTCTCTTGTCAACACAATTATCATAGGGGTGTTTAAGCACTTTAAGCAAATCCGCGAAACATTCTCAGATCTCATAATTAAGAGTTTGGTGTAAAGATCGGAGAACATGTGGAACAGATGTGGCAACTGATTAAGTTGCAATGAAAGCATACCGCCTTCAACGTGCCATGGAACACTACAATGAGTGCAATGAACAACATCAAGGACCCTACAGAGAATGGTAGCCTTGTGGTGCCCATAATAGCTAATGGCAAGAATTCCTCTTTAAGAGCAAATTGCATTGCACTTAGCTTTGTGTTCATCTTTTGAAGCAAAAGACATGGTTAGTTTATCTCTGTAAAAAAGATATCCTCCCAAGCTGGCAACTCCACAATAAATATCCAAGAAGATGCGACTCTGTTTTCCCCATGCTATATCATGCACCGACTCCTGGATGAAATATATGTAGTGAAGAGCGCCATTTTAAATTGAGTTTATCCCAACTTTATATTCATAGTTCTGTAAGAATTATGCTCTGTGCTACTGCCTTGTACGCTCTTTTGAACTCTAGAATCATTTCCATCACTCTCTTTGCTACTTCACCACCTTCAACTGTCCCACCCGCATCACTATAGATTTGAGGTTTGGTTGTATCAAGTGAGTCATCCTTCTCTCCATTGGTTGGGTCAGCAGTGTTGTCGTTTGAATTTCGTAAATATTCTGATCTTTGGTAGCCTCAGAAGTAGTTTTGCTTGAAATTGTATCTCCTTTGGAATGAATATCCCATTTTGTTGTCTTCAAAGGACTTAGCAAATGTCTCTGAAATTTCATCTGTCACTTCTGATTTACTAGATGAGGACAACTCTATTGGTACCATAGCGGATGATGTCATCATCCAAACACCCATCTAATATAGAGCTTACTCTTTGCTGGAAATCGCTTCAAATAAGGAAGAGAAAGCATAAGACAGAGCGCAGAATAAGTTCTTTGTGATAACCGGTTCTTCCGGCCGGTTCAACCGAACCGGCCGGCCCGCCTTTTTTCATCATCATTTTTTTTATTTAATCAAGTGAATGTTCTTTGTTGTTTAAATTCAACAACCTCCCGACGTCTCACCCCGTTTAGGGGTGTCGGGTAGGCACTTGCCTTTTGCTCTTCTCATCCGAATCAAAGATACGACGGACGCGGGATCTTCACATAATTCATGTTCTTCCGAGCCAGATCAAAGATACAACAGACGTGGGTCTTCATATGAGCTCGTTCTACTCCTGGTCGGATCAAAGAAATGATGGATGTAGGTTCTTCGACACCTATTGCTTAAGCAAGCATGAAGAAATTTATACATTTTAATGTAGAAAGCATGGTGACGACGACGTCGACAAGTTGGATGTGAGCACGAGCTAGTCGTAGGTATGCAAGATGGGATCAAGTGCGGATGAACGACTGAAAATAGTGGATTGGTCTGATCGGCTAGGTTCCTGTGTTCGGGGTCAAGCGAACGATAGAGGAGCACATGTGTTTGGCTGTAGCGGGAGGTTCTTCGTTGGGCTGAGTTCGGTAAATCGAAGTGAGAGAGAGGGAGCATAATGGCTTGCATGTGTTTGCAGGCTGGGGATGGGACAGCAAGGTCATTGAGCAGATCAAAGTAGCGGGCTGAAGTCTCGAGTGTTACGCCTGGTTGCATGCATGAGACCCGATTGTTGGTTGGGATGGAGACGCGGGAGCGGGTTCGAATTAGGCGCGGGTAGTGTGGTTGGGCTTCCTTGTGCAAGAAGGAGAGGCGAGCAGAAGATTCAGTTGGCTTCGGCTCTGCATGCGGCTGAGGGAGATGAAATGGAGGGAGTCTTCGGCTTCCTTGTGTGAAGCAGAGAGAAATGAGAGAGTTGAATGGAAGCAGTTGGGTTCCTGCAACCTCAGAGACCCATGGGAGTAAGCGGCTTCTTGTTTGCTGGAATAGAGAACAAGAGGAGTGTCCATTCGGTTGTGTCATTTGGGAGTCTCTTTTGTGTACAGGAAATAGAGAACCAGAGAGGGAGTGAGCGGTTTCGAGCGGTGTAGATTAGTGGGCAGTTAGTCAACAAATATCAATCAAGGATCCATTAAAGAAGATTACTTCTAAGATATCTTAGGGAGAATCAATCAAGCAAGCAATCAAAAAGGCTCCCAAGCATACATTGTAATATCCAAGACTAAGAGGGGATTCAAGTGGGCAACCCCTCCTTTGTTTTCCATGAAGTAATACAATTATTCATTCAGGCTTGTGCATTTGAATGCTTATTAAAAAATAGTGAATTGTATTAGACAATACCCTTGATAGAAAAAATTATTATGTGTGGACGCGTTCAGCGTAATAATCTCTCCCTTGATAGGTGAAGCCATGTACATTGTTGCTTGTATGCAACGTAAGTGAAAAACATGGTAGCTTCTGCCTCTAAGATTCTTTAGTGAGTCCCCTTCAAAACTAAATTTATATACCCTTATTATGCTTCATCATCAATTATACTTACCCAAATAACCTGCCTTCCATTTTCATAGGGATAAAGTCATTTGTCTACTTCTTTAGGTGGCAATACTAATTAATTGGACCCTATTCTTATATTTATTATGCAACCAATTTTTTAAGGCAAAGTATTACTCAATTAGATGGATGCTAATATGATAGTGCGGGAAATATGTTGAGTTATTCAATGTTACCTAGCCGATAATAAATAAAAGAGAGAAACAGTCAATGGCTTAAATTCCTTTACAATAAATACTCATTGGCTTAAGCAATCAAAATAAAGAAATAAACACATACTGTTATTATAACCTTGAGTTAGTTATAAAGAAAATATTAGATACAAAAATAAATTTGAATTAAATAAGATCAAACTCCAGCTAGATCGAATACAGAATTCAATCAAACAGTCCGCATCTTCAGAATCAGACTCCATCCCATGTTTGGACATTTTGTTTACATAGAATAAATTTATTTGATCCCGGACAACACATGACCAAATAAATATGATACCAAGAAAAATCGAGTACTGATCATTCTGTCATTTGCAAAAACTGCAAAAGTGGTTTTAGTGCTCCACACATTTAGGAAAACAAATAGATATAAAAAAACATACAAAATATAACTGCTTCATAGGAATTATGTGAGGAGCACAATAATAAACTTGGAACATTTAGTACGAAGAAAAGATTTTTAACTAGAAAGAAAAATTGAATTAACGCAAAAAAGGCCAAGGGTGTATACTCAATTACTCCGCCATGCACGCCAACTGAATATAGCTTTTCCGGAACCTGTCCTTCCAATTCATTATCATTTAACAAGCTGCATAGAAAAAGAAGTGAAAAATTTTCATTAAACCAAACACGTAATATAAAAGACAATGAATAAACCAGTTCTTCTATTCTCACTATTTTATTTGTCAGTGCTATGATATTTTGGCATTTACTAAATCTTCTGTCGCTTGCCTTTGCCACTTCACAAATCACTTTTTCTCCTCAGAGTTTCGCCTATTATATTAAAGGTTGTAACTTCCATTTTCATTACTATCCCTTTAGCAAGAATTTTAACTTCTTTATGGTTATTGTAGCACTTGGTAGTATTTATTCATTATCATTCATTAAGTGCACATTTCTTCAAACCACCATCAAATTTCCTTAATGATGTACAGTCTATTTTTAGCCTCTCCTTGACGCAACAACCCATCTTATCCAAATATCAAGTGGCTCAACTTGTGGATTTCAATTTGAATTTCTTAGTAGACTATCATTGAAGATTGGCAACTTCTTTAAATTTCATCATCTTATCGTATATTTAATTTCTTTATGCATCTTAGATATACTCCATGACTATTAATCTAGGTAATTTTTCTCCTAAAATTACCTCATAATCCTTGCAAAAATATTTATTTCCTCATGAGTAAGGAAAAAAACCATTTATAACTTGGTCACAATGGTTGGTTATTAAGCATTATCGATTACATCCTTTGCCCTCTTATTCTTCAAGGGGGCTGATAGACTGGTCCCTCCCGGACCGGTTATAGAAGGGCCAGTCTATCCTGGACCGACTAGGGTAGTCTCCGAATATAAGAAGCTAGGCGGACGCCCCCCCCCGGAGGGGGGGAATCTCGCCCCCATTGAAGTGGGTCCAGGGAGAATTTTTTAATAGAGAGGGGGCGGCAAGCAGGGCAAATTCAAATAGGGAGGGTTGTTAGGGGATTTTCTTGGGGGATTGCATGATTTAAGTAGATTGTTTACCTAGGGTTTCAGTTTTTATATTTTGTTTGCTGAAATTGAAGTTTGCTTGGGTGAGAGGGCTCTAGCTAGAAGCTAGGGATTTGGGAGAGCTAGATCATCCTCTCCAATTGAATATCCAATTGTAACTTGCATTTTCCTTCATAGTTCTTGCAATAAAAATTGTTCTTGGGTGTTCTTCCAAATTTTCTTAAGTCGTTCGCTGATTTGGCTGAAAGTGCATCTACTTCCTATCAAATTGGTATTAGAGCGATGCCTTGGGATGAAATATAACTCTTTCTCGTTGATTTATGTTGTGTTTTTATCTTCGATCTTGTTGATTTTAGCTGTTTGAAGACCAGATTTGTTGTTTTTTTGCCGTTCCTTGCTATTTGAAGCCTTGATATCGATACCTATGACAAGAAAAAAAAGGTAAAAGTGTTGGAAGGGGAGATCGGACAATTGAAATATGATATTTTATATTTACAAACTCAAATTCCATCTGTTCACGAGAAGATTGATGAAAAATTTGTCATTATGGAGGAGATAATGAAGAAGTTACTTAAGGGCCAAATCAAAATGGCGTCGTTGGAAGCGAGGGAAGCCTCCCACAACCAAGGGAGCAGGAATAACCCTAATCCAATAAGGAGAGGAGAAGAATAAGAGGTGGAGATCTTTGAGGGAGAAAAGAGAAGACCTCTAAAGCCCACTCCTAAGGAGGAGAAAGGTAGAAGGTATGGGAAAAGACATGAGGGGGTTGGGTATGAACGAAGAGGTACTGAATTTGAAAGAAAAGTTGCTGATTATGAAAGAGGAGGAGAGATTTTGATGAAGGGTTTGGGTATAAGGGCAAAAGGGAAGATCGGGACACTTGGGGAGGACCACCCACTTGTGGAATGGGAGGTTATGGAGGAAATAGGAAAAACGAAGGAGATCCGAGGGTAAGGAAGTTGAAGACGTCCGTTTTTGTGTGAGAAGATGCACATGGATGGATCTATAGAGTGGAAAAATATTTTATCATCATTGGGCTGCGGAGGAGAGACTGACGTAGGAAGGATCAGTGGAGGAGTACCATGAGAGGTTTGAGTACCATGCCAGCCGAATGGACCGGCTTTCAAAGACTTGTATTGGAGGGGAACTTTATAAAAGAACTCAAACAAGAGATTCGAGCGACAGTTAGAGTGATGAGGCCTTGTTATTTGGAGAGAATATGGTGGTGGAGGAGAAAGATCTATATTTAGATGTGACAGAGGTCTCCTTGAACTCAATGGTAGGATTCACTCCAAATCACACCATGAAAGTGAAAGAAAAAAAATAGTAGAAAGAGAGGTAGTGATGCTGATAGACAGTGGGGTTACCCACAATTT